GTGATAAATGGGTTGACAGTCATTTGTCGAATGTTTTACACGTACCTGAACTTAAGGTAAATTTGTTTTCGTGTGGAGCATGCCTTGACAAAGGCATAAAAATGGTGACAGACAGTGACGGCTGTATATTTAAGAAAAACAATCGTATAGTTGCTATAGGAGTTCGTGAGAATAAAATGTTTTCAATGGTTCTGAGAATAGGACCATTACAACAGGCTGATCAAGCAAATATTGCAGTTAAAAATCTCACATTACTACAGTGGCATGAAATTCTAAGTCATCAGAATGTTCAACATGTTCGAAACTACTTGAAACATATGCGGATTCAATTTACAGAAACAAAAAACAAGTTTTTCTGCGAAGCGTGCGTTTATGGCAAACAACACAGAGAGCCGTTCACACTGAGTAATACTAAAACTACAAAACCAGGTCAGTTAATTCACAGTGATGTATGTGGACCCATGGAGGTAAACTCACTTGGAGGTAAACGGTATTTTGTTATATTCAAGGATGATTATTCCAATTATACGTATGTGTATTTTATGAGCCAAAAATCAGAAGTTAAAAATAAATTTGAACTATTTTTAAATACAGTCAAAAATCAGCTAAATATCTCAGTAATTACTTTGAGAAGTGATTGTGGTCGGGAATATAAAAATACTGAAGTAAAAGCCTTATTGGATAAATTTGGAATAAAACATGAGACGAGTGTACCATACACACCTCAGCAAAATGGGAAGGCGGAAAGATCAATGCGAACAATTGTAGAAGCGGCCAGAACTATGGTATACAGCAAAAATTTGTCTAAGACACTTTGGGCAGAAGCAGTGAATACAGCTGTATATACAATAAATCGTACAGGAAACACAGGTCAAGAAGGAAAAACACCTTATGAATTATGGTTCAATAAAAACCCAGACATATATAATCTAAAAATATTTGGTAGTGAAGTCTATGCACACATACCAAAAGAAAAACGAAGAAAATGGGATCAGAAGGGAAGAAAAGGTATTTTCGTTGGATACTCAGAGGAGACGAAAGGATATCGTATATGCTTTGATGGAAAAGAAGTTTCATTAAGCAGAGATGTCATATTCAAAGAAGAGTCAGTAAACCCATCAACAGCTACAGAAGTAAAAATCAGAAATGAAGAAGAAGAGGAAGAAGTAAATTCGGAAGGTGAAGCTGAAGATGAGGAAGTCAACAGCGACGACGAAGAAAAACTGGACGATGATAAACAGATGCCAGTAGAAGCAGAGGATCAACAACAGATGATACTCAGAGACAGAGGAAAACTCAATAAACCTATTAGGTATAGAGATGCATTTTTCTCAGCATGTAATGACCCAGTTACATATGAAGACGCTATGACAGGCGACAATTCAGATGATTGGAAGACAGCAATGAATGATGAAATGTCGTCATTGAATAAAAATTTAACATGGAAACTTGTGGACTTGCCTCAAAATAAAAAACCTATCAATAATGGTTGGATATACAAGACTAAATACAAAGCAAATGGAGATGTTGATCGGTACAAAGCAAGGTTAGTAATAAAGGGATGTGCGCAAGTTCATGGAATAGATTTTCAAGAAACGTTCAGTCCAGTAGTGAAATACGATTCAATTCGAGTAATACTTGCGATAGCAGCAGCCAGGAAATTAATGCTCAGACAATTTGACATTAAAACAGCGTTCTTATATGGAGATCTTGAAGAAGACATTTATATGAAACAGCCAAAAGGTTACGAAGATGGAACACAATTAGTATGCAAACTTCAACGGAGCCTATATGGGTTGAAACAGGCACCCAGGTGCTGGAACAAAAAGTTCAAAAATATGCTGGTGAACTTTGACCTAAAGGAAACAAAAGCAGACCCTTGTGTATTCGTAAGCAATAAAAATAATCAATTACTAATTGTCGCTATTTTTGTAGACGATGGGCTAATCGCAGCAACAAACAACGAGCTGGTGGACACAATGGTGAACTACCTAAAGGACAACTTCGAGACGAAGGAAGGTGAACTTGATCATTTCTTGGGTATTGAAATTGATCAGAGACCTGATGGTTCAATTTTCATACACCAATCTTCATATTGCAAGCGCATTCTAGAGAGGTTCAATATGGAAGAAGCAAACGTCCTGCATATTCCCACAGATCCACAACACTCATTAGATCCAAATTTGTCAGGGTCATTGGAAGCAGGGGAAGTTCCATACAGAGAATCAGTTGGAAGTTTGTTGTATCTAAGCCAAATAACAAGGCCTGATATAACTTTTGCAGTAAATCTTGTCAGTCGTTATTTAGAAAAGCCTCTGACAATTCATTGGAATGCGGTGAAACGTATATTTAAATATTTAAAGGGAACGTTTAATTATGGTTTAATTTATGATTCTAGTGTAACACCAAAGTTGCGTGGATATAGTGACGCAGACTATGCCGGTGACACAACAACGAGACGATCAACATCAGGATTCATTTTCATGATGGGAGATGGAATCGTAGCATGGTGTTCACAAAGGCAAAAATCGGTAGCACTTTCGACTACTGAGGCAGAATACATAGCGCTGAGCCAATCGATACAGGAACTTACTTGGTTGACGCTACTTATCAGTGATCTTCTGGAGACACAGGGAGATACACCAGTTCTGTATGCAGACAACCAAAGTGCCATCAAACTAGTGAAAAATCCAGAATACCATAAGCGAACAAAACACATCGATGTTCGATATCACTACATTCGTGAGAAGTTCAGTGAAGGGATGTTTTCTCTGGAGTATGTGCCAAGCAAGGAGCAGTTAGCTGACATATTGACTAAGCCAACTCCACGACCAAGATTCCAAGAACTCAGGGGGATGTTGGGAATTAGATATATTAATTCTAAGTTAGGGTATATTGTTTAAGGGGAAGTGTTGAATGTAAACAACACACCCTGTATTATATAGATTATAAGCAAATTATTCACACTGTAGTACAGCAGACGCTGAATAGGCATTTTATATTTCTATAGCGTATTCGTTATATGTACTAGCCTGTAGGACGATTAGTCGTTGTTTTATATTACGCATCGGAGCACTATAGTTATTCATATCAATTATACATATTATTATATTATTACATATCATATCCGATCTTACATTTATTTACCTTTAGCTTCTGTATATCTGTGTACTTCAACAGTAATTCATACAAAATGTTCTATCTACATTTAAGATTTGAAATTGTAATACAAGATTCCCCTTAAGTTTTCCTACATTTAACAAAAAAAAAGTTTTTTGTGGTAATAGGTACCAATGGTAATAGTGTAATACATAGCCACATAGGTAGGCATATAAGTACCTACAAGGTAGGTACACCGCAAATCGTGATAATATAATAGGTATTACATTTGATACAATTATTATTTTACCATTTTAACGATAGGTGTTAAATATAAAGATATATTATATTTACATGAGTCACGATAGACTTAGAACAAATACTCTATATGACAATACAAGACAGTCAATATGATAACAAACCCAACATAGCCCCCCCCCCCCCCCCGAAATCGTAGTGGCTGGCTATCCGGATATTGTGTAAATAAGTTGCTTATATAAATTCTTATTTCTACTCAAATATCCCTTCTTTATTCGAAGTATTGTTTTTTTTTTTAATAATAAATAACCTAAATAATTAATTGAATATTTATTTCATACACAAAATCTGAGCTAAAAATATGCCCGTTTTTTTGTGTTTTTTCTTTTAATTGTGGTGGGGAGGATGGTATTATGAAAATCTTTCGATATTTTGATATTAATATCTCTTTATGATTATTTTTCTCAGAATATTTTATATTTGAAGTGTCTTGTTTTGTATACCAATTACCAACCAATAACCATTATAAAATGACTTCACACAAGAGTTGTTCTTTTTGGAATTGTAAAAAAAACAGCAGGAAAAATCCGAAATTAACATTTCATAAATTTCCTACAAATGATAAATTGTAAGTTATATTTTAGGTTGTTAAGTTTTGAAGCCATTAAAATATAATTGTGACTTGTCTTCAATGATGTTACCAATGTCACAAAGACGTAGAGTAACTTACTTTGTATAGAGTTTTTCATGTGATAATATAAGATGCTCTATTAAAATAATATTAATTAATAAATTCAGTAGTAAATTATGGATTGATCAGAGTAGAAATAAAAGAATTACAAACAACTATTAAATAACTAATTATGGCTTCCAAAAAATAAAATATTGTACAATAATATAATGTAATATACTATAATATCTACTTACCTGTTTAATAATAACTATATAGACTAAAAACCTTCATTGTTGAAGTCTTAATAAATTTAAAAAATAATAATAATAATAATACCAACCCATCGGTTATCACCCATAACATAAATAATAAGTATTTATTTTGTCATGTCTACTGCCTAGTACCTATAGTACATACTTATAACAACTGTAAAAGTGGTAAGCGCCTGGCAGAATATGTATAGGCAACCACTACGATATACTGGGCATATTTATGTCACGTTTCTTATCATAAACTGTCTCGTTTTGTCATATTATAGAGTATTTGCTTAGAATCTATCTAAATATATGGTTGGGCGACGGATCACAGATTATATATATTATATTTAATATTATATACTATAAGAATAGGTTACCCTAAGTTCCCCCCAAATAACACATTAACACCCATAGGCAATATTATGTGTATATGTTACGGTCAATGACGAAAACTGAACATTTACGTTATTAACCGGTCATTAACGTTAGAAGCCAAGTTGCTAGGTTATTTTCGTAAACTACCGGGCAATAACGTCAGTTTCCAAGATAATAGACTATTGTTGTAAATTACAAAACAAAATAAAACAATTTTACCTCAATGACCGAATATTAAAGTTATTAACCATTGACTGTTGGTAAATTACGTAAATTACTGAAAATACACATTAATTTAATTAATTACAGACTACAGTTATTAATATTTATCTTATAATTTAAAACATATCCTCTACATCTCTATTTGCTCGTTCCACAGAACCTTGGCTCTGACTGTGCCTTGGTTTACCATGAACAATTTTGACGTCTTCCCACATATTGTGTAGTTCAGTTATAGTCGAATTTACGAACTCACGGCCATTATCTGACTGCAAAATAGCTGGTGCACCAAAGGTCGTGTAAATGTCAAGTAAATTATATGCTATCTCCTCTGCACGTTTACTTTTTAAAGGCCTTAAAATTACGAATTTCGTTAAATGGTCTTGATAACAAAAAATAAACCGAAAATCGTTAAAATTTTGGGACTGCATATCTATTAAATCTACTTGTGCTCTTGAGTTAAAAGCATTGTGTAATATTGGTTTGGAAACCAATCCTCTTTTTCTATTAGTAGATTTCTTTTGGCAGTGTGAACAAAGTTGTAAATATAGCATAATTGATTCCTTAGTTATATTGCAATACTTATTTTTTATTTCCGCAACCATTCGATTTCTCCCACCATGTCCAATAGACGAATGAGTAGTATGAAGAATATCAAAAAGTTCTTCATTTGTTACATAATAAAGCATAGAATTATTATTTTCTGATACTGGTTTTATCAAGCGTTCTTTTCCATTGACCATTAATATTTCATACTTACGAACCATCCTGTAATCTTTTACCGATTTTTTCAATCCCTTAGTAATTAATATTTTTTTCGACTCTTTAACTTTGGAAATTTGCTCACTATACTCCGATAAACTAAAATAAGAATTATTGTCAGTCCGTTTTTGACTAATCAACTTATTAAATAAATCGTTGAATTTACTACGCATAGTATCTACATCCATACTTAATATTTTACGTGAATAAAAAATTAATATTTAAAAATGCAATGACACGTGAACTGACTAACTGCGAAATGTCGAACTGGTGAACTACTAATAAAGCGATGTCAAACGAATACGATGTCTGCAACAATACTGAAATAGCTAAAATACGTTATAGGAAAAAAAATCCAATAAAACAAATTACCTACCTTTGATAATTTGTTAGATAACCACCAGCTGCAGTGTATTAATATTTAATATTATTATGGTTTGCTCGACTGCTCGAGTAACTATCGCTGATTATCATTTAACGAGTGTAGATAGCTAACTAAAAGTGACCTGTATGTTATAAATGTATAAATAATGAATAATTTACAACAACGTCCAGCAGGAGTTAGGAATTTACGTGAATAATAAAATAACACCCGTGTTTACAACAATAACCATTATGTGTCGCCACTTACGTAAATTACCGGTCATTTACGTAAATTTGTATTATACAAGGTAATTTTCGACATTGGCCGGGCTATAACGTAAATATCCTCATTTTCGTCATTGACCGTAACATATACAATATATAACTGTAGAACTGTAGAAGTACCTACACATGCAAGTTGTTTAAACAAACTATAATACTAATATACTATTGATGCTAAAATGCTAATACATGTATACTTACAACTTATAGTAAGATTGTAAAAATGGTTGATTTTATCTATAAGTAGATACCTCCTATGTACCTATCATGGGTAGCAGCCAACCGATACACAACTTTAACCATAAGAAACGACTAACGTAGGTAGGGTAGGTAAGAAGCGCCAACCGAAGTCGTACACAACTGTTGAAAAATACACGTTATTATATCTGTAAATCTGTTAATGTATATTACATAACAGGTATATACATAACAACAATAGTTGGTCGTAAAACTTCGTACATAATACATGCGAGGTGTATATATTATTAATTATTATGTGCAATCTACTTCCACGACGGTCTGGTCGCGTTGAACGATAACGTCGGCCGCAAATGGTTCTCAGTTTCAGCACCAGCCCTCTGCGCGTGTTCGGACTGCTTGCCGTTACTTACGGCAATTGGTGGCCAGTGCTTGTGGACTGACAGTTTGTTCAGGTTAAACATTCGTCTCAACAGTTGCGTTTTGGTGGGCTTGACGCACAGGGTCCAGCTCGAACGGCCGTCTTTTGCCGATGCGATTACAGCCAACGATCGGCGTCTCGAAGTCTGCCGTAGTCCGCTGGAACGTGTTCGGCCTCGTGCTGCCACTACCACCTCTGTCGCCACGACGTCGCCGTCCGTCGAATTACTGCCATGGACGTCTAACACCACCAGATAGGGACGAGTATTGTTGCCGGCTGGCACCGGGTTGGCCTTCCGGTAATTCCGATTGATCGCGTGCCCGCTGTTGTTCAGCAGGCAACGGAACTGATCCATCTGAGTGAAGTTTTTTTTTTTTATTAATCATAAATATGTTTAAACGCCGGATATGGGAAGTACAAAATAGGTACATAATGGTAATAATAATAATATTTTTTTTTTATTTATAACTATTTACACGTTCTTAACTGGTTTATAGGACCATGGTATTATTTGCAGATTATAGGTATCGGCACGGCGAATGTCTGTGGCGCACTCTAATAAATGAAGGGTATATGACTGTCAGTCACTCCTATCAAAATGGGTTATGGATGAGAATGACTGGAAGATTATGCAATTATGAAATTAACTAATAACTATTAAGATGTTATTAATATAACAAAATTGGTAAAATATTTTTTTTTTTTTGGAAATTTTATAAATTATGGGGGTGGTCGTAAAAAGTTTTGACACCCCTCACACAAAATTAGTGTGAGCCACTGTAATTGGGTGATATAGTATATGAAATCTGATTGTTGCACTATTTGAAAAGTCATCTCGTTATTTTTATACATACAGAAAATGAAAGAATTTACATTATTGAAACAATCAGCTTTACTAAAATACCTACCTACCTACTTACTAAAACTGTAAAATTAGGAATGTATTACTATCATAGACCTTATACTCAAAAAGGTCTATGATTACTATCGAAGAAAGGCCCCGTTGATATGATCTACTTATATGACAAATGTACTAATAATATGTATTATCTATTTATCTCTACTATGCTTGTAAAATGTACATTGAACTGGGGTATATATGTGTATTGTATATTATTTAAACAAATCTGGTAGGTATATCTAGTATATAGTCATATGAGTGATTTGACGTACCTGTTCACTATTGACATCGCACGTTTTAGTAAACACTATCCACTGAGTAACGCCACTCTTGCATCCACGTTTATCGATTTTACCAAAGTACGTAAAATACTCTCCTGCTTGGTTATGAACCAAATGGCTTAACGGAAAAACAGGTATTCTAGCTGTTTTTCCAGATGTTCGTACATTACTCAAATAAGTAGTGATATGATCAATACCGAAATGTTGATTTTCTGTGACCTATGAAATATTAAATACATATTTATTGTAATTTGTAAATCATACATAATATTACAGGTATATTATATGTGTAAATGTGTAATATTATATAGGTATTGATAATACTATATATTAATTATTGATGTTGGTATAATGACTACCACTACTTAACAATTAATAATTAATGTATGATGCATTTTAAGTAAAAAATGCAAAAACGCATGATGCATCAATAAGTATTTTTTTGTTAAATAACCATTTAAAATTAATTTTCCATGATTTTGCGTTGAAATAAACCCATAGAACACGATTTCCATTAGAAAGATGACTTATGACTTATACCTTTGTGATTTTCAGTGATAGATTGTAGTTTTTGATTGCTGCTTTAGTGTTTAACATAGTTTAGTCGAACTGTTTAGTAAGTCATACTGTTATATTTGCAATACTTATTATATATTGGTAAACGTCTTAACTTTCGGTCATTATACGTTTAATGTAATATACTTACTATTTTAGAAGTATAGACGATATACTATAAATATAGCCACATAATATGCAACATATTTTGTAAATTTATAAAATTATTTTATACTTTGGTACTCGTCCAATATGCTATCTACCACACGTTTGATGGTTTAGTGTATGATATCTACCGTAAATATTTTATCTACCATCGACTTATAGTTGATTTTCATCTTTTCGTAATCACTTCGGCTTGTGTTACCTTTATTTGAGATACCCAATACCAAACAAGTTCTACGATATCACAGAAATTTAAACCATTTTATTTATATTATAATATAAATATATATATATATTATATTATATTATACTATATTTTATTTATTATTATTTATACATTTTATTATTATTTTTTTTTTCACTATTAATTGTTACTATTCTATAATATATTAATTTTGCATCTTCTGATTCGGCACCACTCGTAACTTAGACAAATTCAGTTTGCAATTGAATAATGATCCAACTATATAGACTACCAAATCAGGCTAACAATCGATGCAATTTTTACGCGATATATCGACAATGTTCAGTCACAAATGTACGTTTCCTATTTTAGTTATCATATACCAATCATAACTGCTGTACCGATTGAGCAAAATGATAATCAATCATTATAATACAACAATAAAAATAAAAAAATATATAAAAAATATAATTTACATTGTTTCTTTTCTTTCTTTATTATCCTCATTACTCCAGTCTATCTATGCCTTTCTTTCTTTTTGACTCACTCACGCGTACCGTTCAAAAGAAGTTTAACTTCCCGCGCGCGTACTGGTAACACACATACTGGTTTTTTAATTTTTTTTTTCACTATAAATTGTTACACTTCCCATTTTTATCCATGTACGTAAAAACGTTATTGTTTTTGCGTTTGGAGTAAAATGTTTGGCACCCTTTTGATATTGATAATAAATTGTTTTCAAAATATTACCTTCCGAATCACGTTTTAGACTATTTTTTAGAACTTTTTTCAACACCACAAATTGTTGGATTTTTAATTTTTATACATGTTTGGTCGATTGGTAATAACCGAGTATGCTTTAAAAATGTTCTCACATCTCTTCATTTTGAATTATGTGTCGATATAAATGACACATAGTTGACAAACTCATAATACATAATATGTAATACAACACGACTTATAAACACACTCTAAACAGGTATAATATAAAGGTATACCTACTAACCTACCTAACCTACTAAATTACGGTAAATAGCATATTGGACGGGTACCTATATTATAATATACTGCTGAGTACTTGGGAAATTGGAAAGTTTATTATAAACATCTTGTCACCTAGACACCTACACGCAGTTATGCATTTATTTGTTTATGCGTATGTAGGTTGCAAGTACATAATATTTGCCTCCTTCGTGAATCATGGAACATTAATATAACAAATTATAATGGAATCGTTTAACAAAAATTTAACAAATATAAGACTTTTTTATAAGCTATGTAAGCTATGTAGTTTGATCCTTATAAACATTAAAACTAAATGTTTTATTAAAGTTTTGAAGGAAATCACAAATGGTTACTAAAAAATGCAATGTAGGTACATTGTACATAAATGAAACTTACCACTTAAGTAAGGGCAGTAAAACTTTTTACACCTGTGAGTCAAATAAAAACGGGTTGATTTTAGGTAGATACTAGGTAACAAATAATAGCAGTGTAGTCGTGTAGATACAAAATTTAAAAATACAGTAGTTCTAGAAACAATACTTACATTTGCTAAAGAAAATTATATGAAACACCACCTAATTTATTTTTATATCAATATAGGAAGGTAGTCGGTAGGATGGTAGGATGTACTGACATTTTCAGTATACTTACGTTAAATAAATATGCCAACGTTACAGAACCATTTTTTATTGATTCAGCCTCAAAAATTGTTTGACACGACCTTTTGAAAAATATTAAATGCATTTCCAACTTGTATCTAGAGAAAGAGAAAGTATATTAAAGGTATTTTTTAAAACCCGTTATAAGCGAAAAACTAGCTTTATACGTATACTTAATACTTAGCGTAACAGCTTAACTTATCATTTGACATTTATCAAGAAATGTTTTGTTTAATGCGTTTCAAATAAGGAAAACTGTCAATTGTAGCATTATGTATAGAACTATAAAGTAAATCCGGTTCTTCATAAGCTCTATATGTACCTATTTATCAGTTAAAGATATTCATTTTTATGTAGGTACACGTTTAATATATAGGTACGATTAAATATGGACATATGAATCATTTGCGTAGTATTCTCGGGGTGCTCCGTGTTCAAGCTTGGTTGCTTGAATACTGTCACATTAGTAACTTAAAAGTTACAATATCGGGCACACGAATTGCGTACCAAGTCAGCCCAGGTAAGCTGTAATTCGTAAAAGTACCTTTTGAATGAATTGCGTCGTGATGATGGTGAATTGTGTTACCTTTTACTTTTTCACCCTACAGTTAATATGCATAAGTGGTTCATAAATTAATCATAATAAGAACTGCCTTAAGAACATGATTAAAAAATATAAATTTACATTTGAAAAATAATTTACAATTTAATGAAAAAATATTTTAGATTCAGAGCGGAACAATGAATACATTGATTGTAAAATCAATACAATGAAGTGGATTTTTTCTGTCTCTAAACATTCACTAGTAGAAATAAAGCTTCAATTTTCAACTTCAGCATCTTCTCTGCTAGGAAATAGAATCTAGTTGGTACCTTTGAGAGGTTAAGGTCAAATTCTCGTTAGTTTCCAAAAACGTCAGGAAAAACAGTAAAAACATTTTTAAAAAAAGGGAATTTTTAAACAAAACCAGTTTTTGACAAAATCCATTTAGTTTTTTTGATTTAACTAAAATACTAATAACAGTAAATACTTAAATTTTCACCTGATCTTTTTTTATTAACATTTTCTATACAACATTGAATATTAAAAATATTTTGATTCTTTTCGAACTATTTATAGGCGCAGGAATTTTCGTTTGGTAAAAAATATATAAAACAAAGTTCCTCATAATTTGTTGATGGTGAAAATTAAAAAAAAAATTGAGCGTAAATCTACAATAACTTTGTATGAACTCCTAAATTTGAGACTTTGACAACAATTTACAAATTATTTTGAGTGAGAAATTCTTATTATACCTACTTATCTAATATTTGAAAATGTAATAAGAGATTTCTCATAAGTTTTCTTACAAATACTGAAAAGTTTACAAGAAAGTTACATTAATTTTTGATGAGAGTTTGAAATTTTTACGACATATTTGCCCGATTTTTCGTAGAACGATTTTCTTATTTTGTTGCAATTTAGAAGCTGCAGATAACCGCAGGAAATTTTGCAGTTTTACTGAATGTTACATATGTATATAAATATTAAAAATATTTTGACTCATCTCGGCTTATTTACAAATACTTGAAATTTTAAGTTTTTGGTATTTTTTTATAATTTTCAATGCAGTTTTTTTCGTTGGTTAAAAAAGCTTAAAAATGTTATATTCAAGGTTTTAATATTACATTAATAACTATAATAACTTATAATAGCTATTGAAAAATATTAAACGTACATAATATAATGAATCATTATTTTTTATAAGCACTAAAAGTTCAAATTTTTACAAAATTCGTCAAAATCTCAAAAATTTGTAAATTATTTTGTAGTTTTAAGGCGATATTTCTTATAAGTAAATTATACTGTAACATAAAATCAAAAAAACATACAAACACTGTTTTTGTTTATAGATGTATCAAGTTCATATGTGGACGAAATTAGATATTTAAAACAAACATTAACGATTTTAGCTATTTTATTGTACCTATAACTAACAAAGATTATTCATGGGTACTTGAAAGTTGAAACTATTGTAAAGTTTCTATATTATCATAATTTATACAATTACATTATGCAATTTTTTGGCCAAAATTATAATTTCGCCTATCAGTTTACTAATGTCTCATAGTGAGAAAAAAATTTTCTTGTACAGTGATAATGTATTATTATTATTATTGCCGGCTGCAGCCGATTTCATAAAAATCGAACTGTGGTAATTATGTAATATGCATGTGTTTCAACTTTCAAGGGAAGTAGGAAAATGTGTAATCCCTCCTCCCCCAACGAACAATTAATATCCTGCGTGCGCGCCTAATACTTGCCCTCGACCGTTGACAATGTGTTCGTTGATGACATCACCATCATCGACATCCGTCCAGTGGAAATGCAAATGAGAAAAATTATATTCGTCGTCCAGGTTGGCACCCGCGATACACGGTTGTCGATCGGCGGCCCACAAACCGTTCAACGTTACTATAAATTATAATTATGCACGTTTCACACTTGGCAGGTACGGAAATAATAAATCGTGTAGGTAGTAAGTACGACACGAATAATTGTGCCAGTTGGACAACATTACAACAGCCAACAGGCTACAGGCACATCTAGCTAACTATTCACTATTCCTCACGGTTTCCGTTAATGATTAATAAATATATCTATGATCTATATTGTATAGCGCACTAAAATTTAAAAAAATGTAATTTTTAATTGGAGATTCTGAGCGGAGCTGAGCTAAAATATATTGATTTAGTATTTTACAATGATGAGTATTTTTTTGAGTCTGCCACCACTTTTTTCAGCAGTAATAATTATTCATTCCTCTAATTAGATGCTTCTTCCTGATATCATAGTGAATCAAAAGTTCAAAATTCCCATAACTTAACTTAATAATTGTAAAAAAATAATTTGGGAAACATTTAAAAACGTTCACTAAATGTTTATTTTAGCGCATTTTTAACCATGAAATAGTTTTCAAAATATTCAATTGAAACTTTCAAGTAGATATATTTTGCTATGCAAGCAATGGCATTTTCAAAATATTTAGATTAATTTATTGTAAGGTGCTATATGTTTATCTATGTATCGTTCAATGGCAGGTATTGGTATTGACTCGAAAAATAATACCAAATAATAATAATACCTATGTGATATAAATATTATTTACTAATTTATGATTTCTATTTTAATAATTAATAGTATAATAAATGCAATGTTTTCGCAAACATGAATTTTATGTAGGTATTGGCCGTATTGCTTAACAATTACCTTAAAATGATTTCATTTTTTGTACACATATTTGAAAATTTAAGTCAGGCGTTGAAATAATGATAATAAAAAATAAAAACAAATTACTATCTATAATCTATATAATACGAGTATTATATTATATGTAGGCTGACGGATGGTCTCCGCTCAGTATCGTTCTTCATATTATATGCACGTATGCAAAGGTTAGATGATTATCATTAAATAAAAATGTAACATACCCATTACAGTGACTATCTAGTGACGACATGCAAGTACCTATACTGTAGAGAGAGTACTTATTTTCCCTCTCTTTTTTTTTTCATTGAAAATGTCTAAAACTATCGAAATACAAATAATACGATTGTATTAGAAAAGCATAGTCAATATATATTTTAAATAACAAGTCACTAATATAAAAGTCTTTAAGAATTTAGAGCATATAGATTATAGGTACATAATACATAATTATAATATAATATATTATATATATGCACACCAGCACACCATGGCATCCAACAAATGACGCCAAGGTGTTCTGTCTTCACCAAAAAGTAGGTAATTTAGAAAAATTGTAAATCGATCGTAAAAAAAAATATAAGAAATACATTTAAAAAAAATATATTCTTGCAAATATAACAAGATACTTATAATAGGTAGTGACTAGTAGCCTTTAGTAACTATATTATAGTAGATAGGTTAAGTATACTGAAGGAGTTGGACTAAATTTAACAAATAGGTTATGAATGTCAATATTTATTGGAAAGGGGTAATACAATTCATAGGTAATATTTCATAATTTCGTGATTGTAACATTAGTACCTTACCAGTTAGACCGTTGTTTTGAAGCTTAATTTTTTCAGGCAGTGCATCAAAGTTGCGAAATTCCAACGGCGGCATCGTCACAACAATCATGTCGTCGGTGTTGACGGCTAGCGGCGACACGAGCATATCCTCGACGTCTCTTTTGCACATGTCCCGCATCATTTGTAACGATTCGTCAGTGCCATGGGCAATATCTATAGGAAGTACGGGCGTATGGCGTAGTATCAATGTCGGTTAAGCGTGTTGCATAAAAAGAAATATTGCTTTTGGCAAGTGCCTTTAGCAGAAATAGCTTAACTCTAGGTAGGCTAATTTTTTATAATATTGGAAGATTTGAATTCCCAACATTACATTTTTATTAACTAAATACCTATAGAAAAAATGAAATGGCTGTGCCATTCCAGTTGGTATTACAAATCATAGATAAACGATACCAATACTATGAATCAAGATTTCAATTTTATAATAATAAATACCTAATAAGTATATTACTTGACTCACATATAGAGCTTAATATTAATAATATTGAAACTTATTTTTATAATTATTAATAAAAATGTTTAAAAAATGCAGTTATTAACTGTTAAGTGTTTTGTATTTTAAATAATTATAATAGGTGGGTATACATGTGATAAGTACTAAGTAGGATTTAATTTTAAACTTTGTGATGGTAAGTAATAAGCACTAGATATGTTAAATACTAAATTTATACATTTTTTTTTTACAAAATTCTTTATTGGGTAATCTTTTACAGAGCTACCCATAATCTTAATTGATAAAATAAATTATAATAAATACTAAGATGAAAATAAAAGAGGGGAGAGGCCTCCAATTTGTACATTGTCAAAGGCCTACTAAATTTATTTTATGCATACTTAGCACTCACTATATTCGGTAAACAGTTATAAAGTAGGTAGTTGAACTTATTGAACTAGTGAATTTTTAAAAATAACAATTCATAAATAAATAAATAAATAAATGAAATAGCAAATAATAATATAATTTCACACAATATTTAGTCTTTTTCCTTTTCTTTTATTATTATTAGAATTATGGTGTTCAGATGTTACCATTATTATTATGAGATTGATAAGTGAGTATAGTAAAATGCATTAAATTTATTTTTAATCTTGAACTTATTAATAGATTTTTTTAAGGTGAGAAAAATATTGTCAAATTAAAATGTGTAATAAAAAATAGGTAAATAATTTATATTATTAATTTATCACTACATCATACAATTTTTGAATTATTTTAGATTTATTTTTACCTTTATTGGAAATGTCTTGCATATCACTCTTGGCTCAATAGTCAATCCTACACCTAATTAACTATTAAACGATTATGTTGCGAACCATGGCATGAAAATTATACTATAGAAATTAAGTCAATACTTTAAATATCATAATGTATAACTACGGTAGGTACTCAATGTTTAAACTTAATAAACAAATTAACAATAATAACATGTGTTTGAAGTGGCCAATAACATTTGTATTCGTGCATTCTTTAAATATTGTTCTTAGATTTTAATAAAATCAGTCGTATGGTACCTTAAGGTTTACACTAACTACTGGTCCAGGACACGATTGGCAAAAAATCTCACAACGCATATCTACCGTCCACTGTGTCTCTAAACAGTAAACGCTGTGGTCTGCTATGAGGAAGAAGGTACCTTTAGTTATGATGCATTACTCATAATTTTTATATTATTAATTGTACACTTTCTTATAAAACTGTTAACATTACTTGCTTAATTTTTAGTTTTTAAATTTAATGAACAAACGTATGACTGTATGTCTGTACTGTTGTACTAGATACAAGGATAATAAAAGTAATAAGGTATTATAAGTATGTTCAAAAATTAATTTGTAATTTATATTTGCTATTATAATTTTTGTTCACAAATTTATAAATCAAAGGTGATGACTCTGTAAAAATAGAACTTTATGAAATGATACATCATCAGTTATCACTTAAAAGAATAAAATAGGTACCTATGTAAAATGCATATTGCACGCCCTTAGAAAGTAGATCTAATTAATTCCATGTATGTTGGTCTTAATTATTTAAGTACTGAAAATTATTTAAAACTGTTTCAACAAATGCCTGAAACGACTGAAACTGATGAACTTTGAGAGATTTGGATCCTCAAACCAATAAACAAAAAACCAATTAAATTTTTCTGATGTTAATAATTGCTTATGAGAATTAATTATATTAATTTCTAATCCATAGCTGTATAAATCATACAATAAAAAACAATCTTACAAGATAATATCTCGTAATCTTATATTGATGTAAGACACCTCAAGACGCCGTATTACTTGAAGTACGAAACTATGTTTTACAGTAAAGGACACTACGCCTGAATGTGCTGTCTCCGTACGCGTCTTACAAATGTACAAAAATAGGTAGCAAAGACCGTTTTGGGTGGGAGAGAGCCACTCAGGATGGAAGGATGTATTGTTGTCCAAATGTGGACTCCAGATTGATGTAGGTAGTAGGTATAATGTAGTTGAGAACATTATCTGTGAATATTGTTTTTATTTTTTTGTTATCAATTATATGAATAAAATTCTTATTGTTTCAAAAGTCATTAATTTTTGTGTTTTTCAAATTTGAATAACATATTTTGTAGTTCTAACATTGTCATATCGAAAAAATAAAAAAGGATAGTTGACTGCCAATTCTCATTTTTATGTAGTAAAAATTTAGTTAGGTATTATAATTTACGGTAGGTATCTGAAAAATATTTATCAGCCACATTTTTTTTTTATATGTATAATGTTATAAAAAAAAATACGCAGTACCTACTATAATGTTCTGTCGACTGTCATTGTCATATGCCTTAATACGATATGGTAATTGGTAGCTGCAGAGCCGTTATGTATTATAAAATTTTACCTAACCTATTCTGATAAAAACAACTTATTTGCTTATAAAAATCAATAAGTCCATATATTATATTTTGGTTTTGAGATTGCATTTTTTTAAGTTTTTAATATTAATAAAATAAAAACATCCATTAATTTTAAATGGGTACCTTTTAAAATAATGGATAGAACCGTTCGGTACAAAAGACACTTAAACTGTTCCTATAGGCTATGTAGTGCAATTTTCCATTATGCCGTATATACTTCACTATCTATTGTAAAAAATGTAACTAATAAAACTGCATATTTGAACAGATTTAATGAGGTTTATTGATTATTTTTGCATATTTTCTTATTTTTCAGATATTTATTAGCATCATATTTTACAGTTTTAGGTGTTTTGAGAGTATATAAATCCGGACTTTAGGACTCATGGACACAGGTATTCGCTACCTATCTCCTTCTAAAAAATAACAATGTACTTTGCACTTGGACTTGGCACTATGGGCATTGGGTAATCAGCAAATACCATGGTGAACTGTAATCACCACGATTTAAGTTATAAATTAAATTATTTTCTTCAAATAATAGGTGATAAATCTTAAATCGCAGTGATCACGTTATGCTATAAATTAAAAAATAAATATATATTTAGAGTAAAATGTACATATTATTATATTATATTTATGTCCAAAAATTACGATATAATAATAATAATTATTATAATATTTAAATAAATAAATGTATTTGTGTTATCATTTTTATCACCAGCTGATAACTCGAAAACGCCGAAACTGATAATATTATTTTGATTCCTATGATATGATATCTTTTTGGCATCACTATTCGCTAAACTACTGAAATAGTTGTTTAGTTGTTTTACGTTACTAAAATTTCGATTTTTTTGCTTATTAACTAACCATAACGTCCATTTTAAAAGTAATTAATAGATTCCCAGTATTGGATAAGACCGCACAATTTTGGTAAGAAAACATCATTATATTGAAGATTTGTTTTTACATTTCATATAATATTTCAATTTTTCTACACTATGTGCAATAAAGGTTATCAGTAATCAGCTCATTATTTACATAGGTAATCGATCATCCTGCTATATTGTATGCTAAGATAATTAATATAAATTTATTGCTCAGTATTTAGTATCAATTATTATTGAATTCAGCTAATTATTTGTTCATAGAATAGTGTAAGTAATTATGATATAATTGTTTAAATACTGAATAATTTAAATAATATTCCAGAATAATTATGTTGGTTTCTGTTGTTTATTTATTTTTATATTTTGGAAATCATCTACTTTTCTATTACTTCCAATTCATTGTCTCAATTTTAAATTTTAAATACTGATAATATTAATCAGGTAATATTACAAATATGAAGTAGAATATTATTGTGATTATTTTTAATTAAAAAAAAGTGTTGTACTCTTAAAATTAATTTGCCTATTGCCTAGGTTAGAGCAGTTAGAAGATGAAGTTATTCGTCCTTAAGGTGCAGTGGATGTGAACTACAACTAACAATGTATTCTGATGACACGGTGTATGTTGGCTTATTGGTCTTATCATTTTTATTTAGCTTTTTATTCAGAAAAGTTAAACACAAAAATGTGAAACAATGGATGTCAACTATTTATGGAGCAATTATTGTACTTACAGTTTCTGGCTTACATATAGTCCATCCGATAATTTGTACACTAGTCAATTCCATTTTGATACAAATTGATAAAAGGTACGGCTATTAATTACATTAATATTTATTTCAAAGTTAAGTCAATCCTTAAGGTAACATAATGACATGATAAATACACAACTAGTACACTTTTGATTTTTAATATCACCCACCTCCTCTTATATTAGGTCTTGTCCACGCCAGACATAAACTTGTTATTTGGAGCTACTGAACTCGGCCACTCATCAAATATTATGCATGGTCATCTTAGTCCTTATCTTTTCTTAGAAAAATGGCATGTTGATATGCACTAGCACAGTTCTAAGGAGGGAGAGGGAGAGTTTTAGGTTGCACTAATGAGAATTTTTAAACCATAATATACATAATTATGAAAAAAAAAAATGAAATAATACCAAATACCATATTATTCCTCATATAATTTCATTTTTGTTGTAATAAACAAAGACTTGAAATTTTCACTAAATAATTATATAAGCATTCTATTAAACTCTCAATAAAACTTAATTAAACCCCCTTTGTCATAACTCTGGTATTATGTTTTTTTATTGATTTTTCATCAATCTCAGTTTTTACTCATTTCCTAATTTTATTGTATAAAATACTATTTTCAATTGCTTTACTTGTGTAAACACCACTATAGATAGATTTAAGATTTAAGATAAATCTGGTTTTGAAAAAATTTTGATTGGCTGAATCAACATTAGGAATATATTTTTTAAAAAGATGATAATTAATTTATATTAGAATAATAGCACTTATTTTATATGTTTAGTAAGTTTTCTTATAATTTGATTTTTATAAAAGAAGAATATTACTTAGGAATTGTACTAAAGTTGAATTTGACAGTAATTATAAATGCTCGAAACTGATAATGTGTTCAATATAATATTATGTATAGAAATGATTTCTAGTTAAATGAGTATGTTTGTATTTTATATATTTATTCTATAGTCACAATTATTTTAACTTGTTTTTCAGGCATTGTCATATATTAAGTTTCTTATTTACGTTTGGATATTTAATATTCTTTCGGATGACAACATATTTTGGAATACCATACCCACCAGCTCATACTAACTTAATTCAAATGATGCTAACTCTAAAGGTATGTAAGAAAAATAGTATGTACCTAATCATTTTAAAAATTAAAGGGTTTAAACAATAAGTTATTTTTTGATTTAAGTTTAATTTAATGTGATTATTTTACCATTGTTTCTCAATTTCCACTTGAATGCTTTATTTTTTTTTTCATATACATTTATTTCAAAACTTGTAATTAATTATATTTTAATAGCTTGTTGGCCTTTCGTTTGAAGTCCACGACAGTTATCTAATTAAATTGAAACAAAAGGATGCAAAATTTGAGGCTGAAAATAATTTTAAAATGATTTGTCAACCTAGTGTTCTAGAAGTATTTCATTATGCATTTTGTTATATAGGCATTTTAACAGGTAAATATTAAACAGGTATTTAAAAACTGATTATAAGAGTTAAATTTATCTAACTGTTTTAAAATTTTTTATATTATAGGACCCTATTTTAAGTATCGTACTTATTGGGATTTATTTAATCGTAATTACTGGAGAAAAGCTACTTATATTAATTTATTAATTAAAAAAATACGTATAATTCCAACTTTAATAATTTGTTATTTGGCAACTTCGTGGATATTTCCATTAAGTGTAAGTAAATAGATATTTTAATAACATTCTTTTAGTATATAATAAAAATGAATAATAAAAAAACAATTGATTTTCATAAGTGTTATGTAATTAGTGAATTTAACAAACTTATTTTGGCATAATTTTTATGTTAATTAAATTTAAATAAATATGAACATTATTTTGTCTTTTAATTAAAATTAATTCTAAAAAAATATTTCACCATCAATTTTAATATTATTTAGAGTGTAGTTTGAAAATATTTGTTAGGTGTGTAAAACTGTTTTTGAGGATAGTGTATCAGAATGTGGCATGCTTATTATTTGGTTGTAATTTTTGTAGACTATTTCATTTTTAGAACTAAAATTCTTTTATATTATTACTTTACATACTATGCTTAAATACATACAGCCTATATTAAATTTACAATTGGTAAATGTTTTTTTTTTTTTTTAATTTTTTTATTAGCTTTTAGTAATAAACTATAATAGCTCGACAATTAATACAAATTAGTAAATGTTAAATGAAACAAATGGAGAGTTTATTCATCAATAAAATACTATGTTCATATTCTAATAGTATACGCTATTTTATATTATACTCATTATCAGTAGTCTTTTTAAGACCACTTCAAATTTATTCAGAATACATCTTTAAATACTTAGTGTCATTTGTATTTGAATACTGTCTTTCAAAAGTATTTGATTTTAAATATAAATACTTTAAAAAAATATTCAAAATACTTAGCAAGTACTTTTTTTGTAGTATATCATAATGTTTGTGCAATTATCACAAATTTATACTTACAGTTATAATTAATAAACTCATTCTTTAACTGTTTCAATAATTTCAGATGTTACATACCTATTACATTGTCAAGTTAAACCAAGAAAGATATGAATTTTAGGTAGTGTGTCATCTGTGTATTTAATGAAATCATAAAAATTCTTAGAAACATTAGAAAATATTATTTTGAGGCCAATTTTTTAAATTGCAATATATGAAACGAAAATATTGTTTGTTAAAATACTAATGGTAAAAATAAAAAAGTATTTAGTATTGTGGAATAAAATATAAAGAAAAGTATTTAAACTGATTATCAGTCTTGTTACATATTCAAATACAGTGTACTCTCAATTATCTGCGGAATAGGGTGGCAGGGACATCCACTGATAATCCTTAAAACATTCGAGAATCTAGTATGAAAGGAACATAACATAATATGCAAAATGTACATAGGTACATATGTATTAATATTAAACAAGCTTATTATATTTTATGTAGTTTTCGAGTATTGGGCAATCACAAATTATCACTTCATTAAACCCATAATGATTTATAATGTACATATATTTATATGTATGTATGTATGTATATTTTTTTGTATACATATAGGTATGTAGATGATTCCGCGGACGACGGCGGATAATCGAGAATCCACTGTACTTCTTATAAGTATTCTTATAAAAGATGTTCATCATACAGACATATTTATATTTATTACACTTGGTAATTTTAAATTGCAAATAATAAAGTATTATAAAAAAATATAAGCCACCAAATGAAAAAAATTCATTCCTAGAGTTTACTATCATAAATTAGTGGACAGTACAACTTTATAAGACATATTATTTACCTTTTTTCTTACAACTAATTTTATTTTACTCGAATACTCTAAATAGTATTACCATTAATGATAGCTTCACTATATAATACATGTCTTTAATACCTATTCGATTAATGTTAAATTGAAATTTCTCGGAATTAGTCATCTACTCTTAGTGGTACAATATATACATATTAAGAATTAAGAATAGCAATTTATTTATAGTAAACGGTTAACTTACTATAGTAAACTAATTACAATACTAATTAAATATTTCAATTCACCTTTCAGTTAAGTACAAATTAATTGTAATTATGTTTAAATTTAAAATATTTTAGGAATTCAACAATGACTCTTTTTATACATCTACATCGTTATCATACAGATTGTGGTATATGTACTCTTCATTTTTTATTTTTCGCACAAGATTATATTTGGGCTTTATTTTTTCTGAGCTTATTTGTATAGCTTCTGGAATGGGTGCTTACCCTGAAGTGACAGATCCACAGTCTGGAAGTGGTCCAACTCGAAATTTCGAATCATTGGAAACTAAGTATGTTTTTCTTTTTATCAGATAATAAATATGTATTGATTTGTGTACTTCCTTGAAATTTCTTAAACATTTTGACATCTGATTATTCATAGATATTCGGTGAAAGAAGTGGTTTACAATTTTGATTGTATTGAAAGTATTGATATAATGAAAGTAGAAACTATTTCAACAGTCCGCGGAGCTACGAGAATTTGGAATATGACTGTACAGTATTGGATTGCTGAATATGTATATAGAAGAATTCCTGTTAAAAAACTTAGGTAATTATATAATATATATTATACGTATATTAATATTACATATATATATATATTATTTATTATTATATTATTATATTTATATTATATGTATATTGTATGCCATAGATGTTTCATTAATTACAACATTTATTTTTTATTTTTTATTGAAGAACATTGGTAGCATTTGGTATTTCTGCATTGTGGCATGGCATATACACGGGGTATTATGTTAGTTTGTGTTCAGTGCCTTTTTACTTAGCAGTGGAAGATATTTATGATAGACAGTACCGTAACTATGCTGACTCCGCTGGCGTAAGTTTAATTTGTGTATGAATTATGAAAGCATGATTATTGATTCTTAAACAACCAAACATTTGCCTTTAAATGTTTCTTATGCCTTTGAAATTTAAATAAAATATCCAAAAAATTGCTTACTTGTTACCTGTTTCTTATAATGAGGAAGATGTAATGGAATTATCAATTACTATTACTTCCATAAACTGATGAAATTAAATAAGAGCCATTTTACTTTAAATAAAACAATTTAAAGTTGTTTCTTTATTTTAAAGAATAATAGTTTAGTGAACAAAATTGTTTTTTATTGAAATATTTATTATTTTTAACATAATACACAAACATTTATTTGTTTGATAAGTAATTTATTTTACTTATAAACTCTATTAAAAATAATATAATACATAGTTGTGCTTATGACTTGCATCAGTATATTTTATTTGTATTGATATTGCATTTGTTTTGTTTAGAAACGTATACTGTGGACATTCTTCTTATACACTATGAAAATGTATCAGTTTTCATTTTGGGGATGTACATTTCAACTTCTACATATCGACCTCATATTTAAATACTGCCAATCTATATATTTTCTCCCATATATTGTTTTAATAACAATGTATGCCATTTCTCGATTTAACAACTTACGGACTAGTTGACCAAATAAAACTATTTGGCCTGTTGCAGTCAACATCAGTGAATTCCTCTAAAGGACTTTGAGTCTGTTATGTTATGTTTTGTTTTGTTTTGGTAAAGTATACCATAATTTTAAAATTAATGTATAAGTTGTATATTTTTCTTATATCTAATTGGCCATTTACACCAATGGGTCTATACAAAAAGAAAATACTGCCCCAAAATACTCCACCTTGATATGAAAGACATTTGTAAAAATATTTTATACAATCTATAAGAACATTTTTAATTGATATTTGTATTATGTTTAATTTTGTAGTGTATATACACAAGATGTGCCCTTGGTTAAAAATTATAAATACTTTTAACTATTAATTAAGTGACAATATTGACTATTGTTATGTGAAGTAAAATAATGTTTATAATAAATTATTATATTAGCTTAATGTATTAAACTAATATTTGTGAATAAATAATATTAGTAAATATGTTATGTATGTCATGAACGATGCACGTGTTGATATTGGATTCAAATTCATCTAATTACGCTTCTAAACACTAATGTATTCTCTTATGGCTTCTACAAAGTGTATATACATTACAACTTAATATTATTTGGCAAATAATTTAAAATATGAATGGTCTCATTATACCTATTAAACCATTTTATTTATTTTTACAAAATGTCTGTACACAGTGTTCATTTATTTCATTAATATGTGTAATATTTGACATGTAAATGTATAAAATGTCAATATATAAAGTAACATTTAATTTATTTATTAAATGTATTAAATTTATACGCCCACTTTTTTATGTTGAGATATCAAGTATTGTATGACATTTTGTAAGTACATGATCTAAAGAATAGAAGTTTTCATATAATTTGTTGTTATCATAAAACAAACAATTTTACCAATTTAAATTTGTATTAAATATATTTTATAGTCATAAGTAATAATTTAATATTTTGTGCCATATTGTTCTTTATCATATTAATAAATATTTGTACTTCCAACTAACATCCTTAAATATATTTGTTCTTTATTATTGTTAGAAAAAATATACCTTTATGGCTATCTAAAAGTTAAGACATATAATACACGCATAATTATTATATATATGTAGTTAAAATTGGACATGCTCGTCTAAGTTATAGGCATTTATAATTTAAAAATAATGTATATTTTGTATGCTTTAGTATAACATATGTGTACTATATGTATATAATTTATTATATTTAAGTTAGCTATAAAAATAAATTTAACTTTTTTGTTTTATTTTTTTAAATGTTTTGGACTACATATAATTGAATATTTAATTAATTGTTTCAACTAAATTATATTTTTTTGTTTTATAAAATATCTCTCTGAAGAACTTAATAATTGAATAAATGTTTGATTGTTAATTATAATTTCTTATTTAGCATTAAAGTATATATTTTAATTATTGGTTGAAATAAATCACTATAAACAATTTTGACATTTTTATAATGTTAAAGTATTGATTAAACGTTGCAACAAAAATTTTTTCTTTTATTTTAATATCAAATTATGTATTATATATTATTTTAACCTGACGTGATGATGGGGTATAATATTAATTATTATACATTGTGAATTTAAGTTGGAGCTGTACCTATGAAAGTTGAATGATTTATAAATAATAAATTAATAAACTAAAAAATGTACTATAATGAAATCAATAAGTGAACAACACTTAGTATAATGCACATAAAACTTTAAAATGGTTCCAATTTATATCTTATTTATAAAATGTATAATATATAGTGTTCCCTAAAAAATGTTTGGGTTTCAAAATTATATCTTTGATTAATTATTATACTTACAAAATTGAAGCAGGTTTCAACCAAATTTTGGTGAAAAAGTTTTGAAAAAAAATTGTTTTCGCAAATTTTCAATATGTAGGTCTTATAAATCCCCCCCCCCCCCAACGAACACACACAAAATAGTTATGAGGTTGCTTTAATAACCCAACCCTCAATTACATGTAAGGTGCAACTCAATCGATGCCGCTTTCCATAGTTTCCCTCAGTTCTATAAGAGTTTTTTGCAAAAGTGGAAAAATGTAGGGACTTACCTGGTTCAATTAACAACTAATAAATCAACTACCATCAAAACCTAGGGAGGCCTAACTAAGTAAATGATACAAGTAAAGTTAAAATTAAAATTCTCTTAACTACAACAAAAAGTTACCAAATTATGATGTTCTACACATTTTGTTTTTAAAATTGTGGGGCATATTATAAGATTTTTTATTTACGAGCAACCCTTGCATTACATTTTCAAGCTTAAGTGGAATTTTTTGTTGACATTTATAGAAAAAAAAATTGAGTGAGCTTATCACACAGTTTTAAAAAAGATCAATTTAATATTAGCATTGTAGTGTATAATCAATTGGGTATCAATATCAGTAATATTTTTATAACTTTTATAGTTACAAAAACTATATTAGTACAAAATTTCAACTTCTATTGTAATTTTATGTCATTGGTTTTTATAGGATACCATAAATATTTGTGTTTATATTTTTAGGTTGCACATATTATTCATAGACATTTTTATGTTTTAATTGTATTCATACATTGTTTAGGTATTCTTTAATTTTAACAAGTTTAGTTAAAAATTGGTGTATATTTAATTTTAAAACTCATCCACAAGCTTTGTTTTTTAAAGACATCATCATTTTAAATTCATATTGAAGACCGGTTCAATGTGTGACCCACGACTGATGATTGACCTGTCCTTACCTTTGCCAGGCGAATGTGCGACCTACAGCTAATGTGTATATTCATTATTCAAAGGAAAACACAAATACAACCATGGTCGTCTTTGATGTAGTAATATTAGACCAAATGAAGTAACTGAAAATGATAGTGATGATACGGAAGAAGATAATAATACAGTGGGTCAAAAAATTACAGAACACGTGTATCTGGTCTGTGGGTTTTTGAACTTTGTTGCAAAAAAATTTATATTTTGGAACAACGTTTATTCATCGTAGAAAGACGTGACAAAGCAACATTACATTCTATAACTGAAAACGAAGTAGAAGTAGGAAGTATAATCCATAGTGGGTGGGGTATGTGTACCCCATGAAGAGTACATACATAATACTGTGAATCATCAAAAATGGTTTATTGATCTAATACAAATGCCAATACCCAAACCATAGAATGTTTGTGAAAACTACTGAAAAAGCGATATGAAATAACTAATAAGAGTAAACGGGGCCTCTCCATTATTACCTAGACAACTTGTAGAGGAGTGGTGGAGATCTCTTCACCCAAACAAGCAAACTATATTTGACAAATTTTTATCAGACATGAAAGATGCTTTTATGACATAAATTATACATAAATTACGATGAATTCTTTTCAGACAAGGAAGATAAATTTTAAGGATAAATCATAAATGAATTAATAACTTTAATAACTATTAAAAATGTAGTATAGGTATAAATATAGATGTAATATAGGTATAATATCTTTATGTAGGTCGCACATTGGACCGGTGCCTCATATTGTTGTATTTATTTATGTATATTTGTGAAATTAAATTAGATACATTTTTATTATAGGTACATAAAAATTACAAGTAGGTACTCGCAAATAATGATACCTATAATGTATATTTTAAAAAAATGTGTGAGTAGGGACATTTATTAATTTTTGTGTTTCGGTATAAATTTCTTATGAAGAACCTGGTATTAAATGTTCTAGCCTTAGGACCTCAGCTTTAGAAATTGAACATGTTTAATGTTTATAACTACAAAATAATTTTTGTGATTTTGTTGAATTTTGAACTTCAAACACATAATAAATTGTGTTTTGTTCAACTTTGTATTTTAATTCAAGTAATACCAACTTATGAGAAACCTTGTATTAAATGTTAAGCTTATTTTCTGAGCTATATATTTCTTTTTGATATTTATAGAAAAAAAAAACAATAAAAATAGAAAATTTCAATTATTTGCAGTAAGAAGTAATGTTTTTTTAAAAAAAAATTTTTTTGGGGGAGGGGGTTAAGTATAAATTAAGCTGTATTTTTAGAGTTTTTGTATATAAAAAGAATACATGTTAAGGAGGATGGGGGTTAAACACAAGCCACCCTCGGCCCTCACTACACATATAGTACACATATAGTGCATCAGTCATACTTAAACTACTATACTAGTATAATGGTGTGGAACATACTAAACTATATTATATACTATAAATCTATCACTACGGATACACAATTACACACCATACCTGCACCAACAGCAGTAGAAAACAATTTAATTGTTACCACATAACACTAGCAAGTATCAGTGACATGCTGACATGTTATGTTCAAAGATACAATTTTGGTTGTGATCGTTTCCTCTATAACAACTCCAAATATCTATAGGTATAGTTATAATGTAGGACTTATGTGCTAGATGTCTATTTAAAATTGAAAGTATAGGAAAAATATTATTTTTGGGGGCTAACATTTTTAGCATCAATGTGAGCGGGGGCTTTGATCACATACAACTAAAAAGGTGTCTGGTTTAGGAGGGCACAATCACTTAGTTGTTTTGTTGATAGAATATATTATGGTAAATAGTAATAAGTAATAACTAATAAGTAGGGCCCGGATTTCAATGCAAAGTGCATATTTTTTTGGTTGATCATATACAATGCTTTCTAAGTACATAATTCGTTCCATGTAACGAGGGTTTGAAAGCTACAAATTTTATTTTGAATTTTTTTGCATATTTCGAAGTTTTTTCTTTTTTAGAGCATTTTTAGCATTATTGGGTCATTTTGTTGGGTTTTAATGCATATTTGTTCAAAATAGATATAAAACTAAAAAAAAAACTACAAAAATATTCTTTTGGTCAATAGAAGGTCATTGGTGTTTAAAAATATTAAACATTATATTATTGTTCAATGCATTGCTCAAAATTAAAAAGTACAAAAGACTTACTTAGAATGTTAATTTTACATAAATTTTAATATATATTTTGGTATGTTTAGAATGAATAATATTTCCCCTAAAACGGCTAAAACATGCGTGTCAACATCATATCAGTCAATATTTCAAATTTTCAGTTTTTTTTTTAAATTAAATAATTATGTAAACATAATTATTATGTCTCATTTATAAATTACAATTTGTACAAAAAAAAATATATGACATTTTTGTGGTAAATTGTTTTTTTAAGGTCATTTTTGTGGTAAAATGTATTTTTTAAGGGCATTTTTGGCTATTTTTTAGAGCATATCTGTATGGTTTTGAGTGCATTTAAATCCGGGCCCTACTATTAAGTAATAAATATACTTACCTAGTATTTAATAGGTAGGTACCTACTTGAAAAATTATTTGATAGCTAATACTCAAATACTTTACAACACTGATTAGTGATTAATGTTATAAGTACAAGTACTTGTTTTAATATTCTACCATTTAGGATTAGAACTCAAGTGACTTGAACATAGGCAGGCTCGGATTGGGCTGGCGAGCTACCGAGAAGCCTCGGTGAACAGCTCAAAATATGGGCTGGTTTCTCTGGTTATGAGTGTTAAGTTATAATTTTATTAAATTTGGAATTTATTATTAAATCCATTAATTTAAAATACAAAACCAATGTCAAAACGTAGGTACAGTAGCTGTAGTCGTAATCAAATTAGAAATTCGGAATTCTAAACTCGGTGAACCGATAACGCCATGCCTATCCAGCACTGGCCGTAGGTGACAGTTATTACTTAAAATATACTATATCGCATCAAATATCGATAATAACATTTATAACATATTTGCATATTATTAACAGTTCAAAATAATATAGGTAGGTACTAGGTACCTATTTAACTTCATTGGATATACTAAGCCATTATTATTACTAAGAACATTATTACACTTAGATCAGTACCTAGTTCTTGCCAACGACCATACCACGTTGAATACACCAGTTCTCGTCCGATCACTGAAGTTAAGCAACATCGGGCGTAGTTAGAACTTGGATGGGTGACCGCTTGGGAACACTGCGTGCCGTTGGCTTGTTCTATTTTCTTTCCCTATTTACCAATAGTAATCAACGAATTTACAAATATGTTTTTTTATAAACATTTGAATTTAATTTTTAATTTTTTTATTCAAAATCTTATTAAAGATTAAGTTTATTTATTGTACAACATTATCGAATCGATAATATTAAAATAATAGGAAGTTATTAATACAATAAGTTTAATAAATACAATGATAATGTCGAAAAATTAAAACTAAACTATTAAAAAATTTTTTTTTATCAGCCTTCAGTCATCAATTATTATGGCTCAACAATTACAATATAAATATGGCATATAAATTAATGATGTTATAGTTAGCCTAAACAAAATGTAACAAGCATTTTTTCGGGTAGGAATAAAAATGTGAATAAAACACAGTTTATCAAAATTTAGAATAATTTAGTTAAAACCTAACATAGGAGCAGGCCCTTATCCATTCAATTGGATAAATTAAAATTTACTTGACGAATACCTGAATATCTACATGTAGAGTTATTGAAAATACTGTATGGATTGTAAAGAAATTTACTTTTAAATGTCATTAAGGTGCTGTAAAAAGTATAATTTTATAATTTTAAAGACGCTATAGAGAAACAACCATACAGGAGTATACATTTACTTTTTAAACGATTTGGGAACTGTGGTCTGCAGTAAATACCTACTAATTGATCAAACTAAAGGCCATAGGCTTTATAGATAATTTTGGTGTACTTACCTAGTACCCAAAAAGGATAAATTATAATAAATTATAAATTAATTAATCAGTGGCTGCACATCAATTATATGCAACAAAAACAACACATGTTATACTTTATATGTGCAGTGATCAATAATATATTCTATATTTAAAATACCTACACTTTAAAAACTTAATTAGTTTTAGTAGTATTAGTAGATATTCTATTACACTGGACAGTAAAATATTTGGTCTTCTTTTACTATATAGAACCAACATTAACGGTTCGTCACTAAAACTAGTATTAACTTAACATTTGTTTTAAGAAGAAGAAAAATATAATTAGTGGAACTAAACTCGGTTTAAACATTTGTGTTGTATAGGTTAGGTTACTTAAGGTGTTTGTAATTAACACGAAAACTTACTATTAAATCCTTATAAAGGATTCTACTCTTCTTCAACTAGATTCACTTTTCCATTGGTAAAGATAGGTACTGAAGTCTTAAAAATCAAAGAATTATTTCGACAAACACAAATAAATTTTTTTTTTTAAATACACACTATTATAAAATCAATAAGTACATTTATCCCTTGGTTCAAAATCTAAAAAAATAATAATATTCGAATAAAAACGAAATTCCGTGAAAAAAAAATACTAAGAAAATATGACATCAATAATTGTTTTAAAATATATTGTAATATGGGGTTAGGTTTTTTGATTTCAGGATAATGTAATAACTTCTGAAATAGTAGGTAACAAGGATTGATTAAAAGCAGAAATGGTTGTAGGAAAACATTTTTTAAAAGCAGTGCAGATAACATTAAAAAATTATAAATAAAGAAGAATTTCCTAACTTATATAATAAAATAAAATTAATATAATAAATTATAAATTAATGCAGGTTGCGTTAACTACTAGGTATCCCTGTCAGTTCTGCGATATACAAACAATAATAACAATACAAAATAAATAATAATTTCTCAGTGTACTTTACTGTCTTTTATAAATAATTTGTTTGAAAAAAAAATGTATCCAGGCCTTGTTCTAATGTATATAATGACAAATTTATTTTAGTTAAAAAAATGGAGTATGGTACATATACAATACAGTTTTACAGCTTCCTCAAATATCTGACTGCAGGGATTTTAATACATTTTTGGCGATCGTGATTTAATTTCTTTTTACAGTTTTCTACAATTGTATTTTTTTTTCCCCACTATAGTTAGCAATTTGAACTACATGATTTGTTAACTCCAACAATGAAGACCCTATTCCCCGGCAAATACTGTATTTTCATACTACATTTTCAAACTTTTGTTTTTGCCAACGTTTTTTGGGTATGAATAACCATCAAAAACTATTTTGGTGCCTTTTCGTTTACTTTTGAGATTTCTGCCATTTTTTGTTCAACATTTTTATTTTTATTTATTTGTATTAGTTTTTACTGTTTTCAGTTTAAGACTTATAGCTCGACAATTACATGTCTATATGCGACAAAAGAAATTTCGATTTGTAAAGATAATCAACAAGATAGATTAATAATATAAACAGATTTGTTCAACATTAAACAAACTACAAGCACTAATCAACTATAGGTAGGTAACAACATTTTGAACTATACAGTATACACTATACAGAGTATTGAGTATTGACAACAATGACAATTTTATTATTCAGTTACCTACTACTACCTAGTACCTATAGATTGCACATATCATATGGATATTAGATAGGTACAAGATAATTAAGATAAAAGCAATAGTATTTGATTATTTCATGCTCTCAAAAGTTAAGCAGTGTTCAAAATTCAACAAAAATAGTTATACTTATACTCAGTTATAAAGTTATGACTAATAAGTTGTGATATTGCCGATATTGATACCTACAAGACTATATTGTTTTATCAGGTAAAATCTAGTAAATGCATGTACATAATTTAAATGCTATTATTAATATTTAGTACTAGCCACTCGGTAATTGGAACATTGGTTGTACATGGTGCATGGTGCACCACGTCATATTTTTCTTTTTACCTAATTATAATATGTGCCGGACTTTTCGCCATGGACTTTTTATCCACAGACATTTTCACCCACAGATTTCTATATAGTATAGAAATCTGAGATTTTGGTGGATAGGTACTTGTTTTTACCGGGATATATTTATTAGGCCACATAAACCTAGCGCCTAGATATTGTATATAAAAAAATTTAACTTCTTTTGAGTTTTATCGTTGGCACATTTGCTTAACAAATCTGGATCCATTCTTTTTCTTTTTGAAGCCCCACTTTTGAAATTTCGTTTAGACATAATTAATAATTATCATATAATATATTATTTAATAAATTAAAACACAATTAGCAAAAAGCTACTGTTACAATAGCCAATAAGAAAAGTAAAATAAAAATAATAACACTTGATAAAATGTTAAATAGGAAAATAGGACATAGAGTGAGAAATAATAACAGGTAAATGATATTATTGTACTTACTGTTTATTTGTTGATGTAAGAGAAAATGATATTTCAGACATTCATATTAATACGCATTGCTTAAAAATAGAACAAATCGAATTTATTACGATACAGAGATATGTATATAAACGTAGATAGTAGATACGTCATACTTAGCTCTCACTATTCGAAAAATTAATTATTATTATGGTTGTTTATTTTCATTACTCGAACATCGATTATATTTGTTTATATTTACATTTTATACATTAATTAGTTTTAGCACGATAGTACATAGGTACAACAAAATACATAGGTATGTATTTATACGGGTATCAAAGAGTTTATATTAAGGCCCCTAGGGCCTAAGCCCTAATGGAGTACCTTTACAAATATTACAAATACGCAGTAATACTCTAGGGCCAGCCAGTATTATAAAATTTACTTTCATGTTATTATTGTTTCTTTTGTATTTTTTGGGATTGGGGCCTCTGAGTATAATATTGATGGGGGTCTACCGGGAAAATTCCAATCTCCCGATGGGCCTATCCGCCCATGGAAATCTCAAGTCTGTGGTCTTAGTTTCTTACCTCGGACTTTTTGGTAAACTGCCTATTATAATGATAACAATAATAATAGAGTTTTGACGTGTGATAACACGCAAGACTGATAATATTATTATTAAACAGTAAATATAATATCAATAATTTATCTACGCATATTGTGGTAGACTTATACCAGCTAATATTAGTAGTTTCAAGTTTGTAGCTACATCTGCCTATATAGACAATATAAGAGTATTAGACAATTACAATAGTCAATAGTCAGCAGTTACAAAAGTAAGTTGCTGTTATAGACTATAGTAGTTTGTTTTCGCTGCGGCTGTTGACTGTTGTGCACTGTGCAGTCGTCACTCGTCAGTTGTAGTGTCGTTTAAGATAATATGTGCATGACGCATGTGTGATGTGTCATTACTTATATATATGTGGAGCGGAGCGACGTGTGTGTCTCCTTTGAAAAAAAATTAGTCCGTACCTATTATTCATTTTTTTTTTTTTGCTTCCCCTCCCTGCGACCTTGTACGCGCGTATTATGTTGATTGTGTACTGTCGATGGTTATTCATTTCGTCGTAAATTATTCCTGACAAAGACGTTTGTTTGACCGTCGTAAAAAGAATACATATAAATAATAAAATCAAAATTTTTATCAGTCGTATTTTTGCCGATTCGGGAAATATAATAATTATTACTAAGTACTAACTCTTCTTTGTTCCTTGAATGTATTGACTGTTGAGTCTTGAGTGTTCAGTCACGCGCGTGCTCTATTGCTATCAAATGTATTAAATTTACTGCATCATTGTCTGGAAAATATTGTCATGGATTTCAAATACCTGTTGGTGTGTGCGGTGTTATTGATTCCGACTAGCAGTGGTGTGTCGTTTGATGAAGTTGATGATGTCTTCGAGTTGACTACCAAAGTGTTTGATTTCGTCAGCAAGTCATGGGAGGTTGCTGATAAGGTGGAAGAACGTTTGGGCAGTGAAAATACTCCACTCGTTTGGTTCACAAAAAAAAAAGAACGTAAGATTTTATCTTACTTTGGACATATCACTCACCTCGTGCAAATGACCCAAAAGGAAACAAACGACATCAGGACTATGATGTTGGTTAGTCTTAAAAGGTTGCAATCTATGTCTGATGCTGTTTTGAACGGAATGCAAATTAATGAACTTTTGGAGTCTGTTAGATCAATCGAAAATGATTTTAGTACTATGGAAGGTGTGTATTACTTATTTACCTATATTATTGCATGAGATAAGAGTTCTGATCATAATATTTCTGGATACAAATTTAATTGTTCTTACATAATATAAAAGCACAACAGTAATGGGAGATGTAGGTTATTTTTTTTTTATAACCCCTTTAAGTTAAAAAGTATTTTATTGGTTTTAGTTCCTTTCCGGCTTAATTAATATGGTCTTGACAGTTTATGTTCAGTAATAATATTGATCATTATTTTTAAATCAAAATTATGTACAAGGTAAGTTTTTACACATACTCACCTCATTTTTATGTTTAAATTATTAAAAATTCTAATATTTTCAAATACTTAGATTTTTCATAAGGATTATTATGATTATTTTGTGGCAATATTCATTTTGATTTTTCAAAAGAGAACCTACATCTTTTAGTGTAAATTTTGAATCAGTCATCATACAATGTTTCTGGAAACTTTAACGTCTTATTATAGACATTTTAATGAAAAGTTTCTGAGTTATATTACCCAAATACTAAGGATAATTTAGTCTATAGGAATTCCATACTTTATAATTATTGAGCTTGTATCCATTTACAATTTTTTTTAATGGACTATTATCCTAATTATTTAAAGAAAAATAACTCAAAAACTTAATTTCAATTACGATATATCAATATTTTCAGAAAAATCATCTGATTTATGATTTGCATGTACCCAGGTTCTCATTAGAAAAATCAACATTGATATTGCCACAAGATCCTCTATATGTTGTGAAAAATCTGAAAGTTTGAAAATATCTTTAATTACATAAAAAAATTCTAAAAATCACAGTTTAAATATATTATTCATAATTTAAACACAAAACCGGAGAGAGCATGTTTAAAACATTAGCTTGTATATAGGTATATAATATTTTTCTATTGATAAATTCATATGAAACCTAGGTATACAAAATACAATTTGTGATACTGCTTTATAGGTATAACCGTATAACTGTAATATTGCCTTGAAATTGTAAACTTTAAAATAATACAAACAATTATTATCAGGTAGGTAAATGGTAATTCAAATTGTTTAAATATTACTTCAGATCTAATTTATTGGATTTCAATAATTTTGTAAAGATTTGTATGTTTTGTATTGATGCATATAAAATATATGCAAATCATAATACTATCCTCTATTGGGTAGTTTATTGTACTATACTATTGTACTAAGCTTTATAAATATTTATTGTTTTCCCATGTTTTATAATTGCTATGGCAACCACAAAATAAATAAATAATAATTAAAAAAACAAAATAAAAGAGAAGAATATTGAAAAGTACTCTTAGTATTAAGTATCAACTATAATACAATCCACAAAACGTTTATGGGTTCTGATAAATTATTATTTCTAAATAACTTACTACAATAACAAGGTACCTATTGCTTGTATGAGACTTAAATAAGTGTTGTTTTATCCTGTTTATCTATAACTTGATATGTAGATACACTTCTCATTAATTTTTTTAATACTAAATTTAAAAACAATTTATTAGGTACATTTAAAAATGAAATTCAGGTTAAGCCCTCTACAGTTTACTGTGTTTTTATATTATGTTTATTTAGAGTATAAATATGAAGAAAAAGATAAGAACAAAAAAAATGTAAATCCTGCATATACATCTTATACATTAGAGAAATTTGCTGATGCAATGTTGACATATTCTGCTGGATCTCCTCATAAGCAGTTGGCAAAAATTCACTCTTTCATTGTTCCGGAATGGGAAGGATTCAAATTTCATACACATGGCGGTATTTTCAATATTTTAAGACACACTATGGTAAGTAATGATTCATTTTGTTAATTAATTTTTAACAACATTAGTTTTAATTGTACCTACCTGTAGAGGCACTCAAGTCCATGTTAACTTTATTATGAGCACATGTATTATGATTATGAGTACCTAAATATGTATTAGGCAGTTAGCTACCCTTATAAAATATAGAGGCCACAAAGTTCTGAAATTGTCCAACCACATTTTCAAAACTTTGGTGCTACAGCCTACTTATACATAATTTATCTATAATTCTTATTTATTACCATTGTGTGATTTATAGACATTTATAGTATACCTACTTTATTTTTATAGAATTATTTTGAAAAAAAAAATATTTATAACCTTTGTAAATGGATTAGAAAACAACATTAAACTTGATACAATATTGAATACATATTTTTTTAATATAAAATTGGTAATTTGGGTTAGGAAATTATTGTTAATAAATACAGTAGGTTTGTAGACTGTAGTACCTTATTTATGTGGGTTTTAAAAATGTACATTGCTAAAGGAAGTATGAAAATTATTTTCTAGTGGAATAGTTATAAGGTAATCCAACTGAATAGTTGGTTAATAATATTGTTATTTCTATAGTCAATATTTAAATTGGCTATGAAATATGAATTATGATTACCCAGATATTATTTTGTAATACCTAAATAAGTTGTAAGTTTATCAGTGAAATAATTAATTTTTATTGAAATTCATTATTTTATAATATAAAAATGTACAATGCTGTTTACACCAGTGTACTGTATTAGTATATAATTATGATTTGTAGATTATAACAAAATCTAATAACAGCATAATTACTAATTAGTCATTAGTCATTACCATCGCCCTTCACTGATATCCTTATTTATGATATTCGTTTATAATTTTAGCAATTACAAAAACAAAATTACAATCACATCCTATTGACCAGAAGTTTTTTAAATTAAAATCTTAAATTTACTTTTATTATCATAATGATATGTTTGTTAACTTAAATTACATTACAAATTTACTCGCTACTTGTCAGCGAACCAAGTCGTGAGCGTGTATACTGAATAGCGACTAGTCCGATTACACTTGATGTATTATTATTATTATTATGACTACCTATTGTATAAAACTTGATTGCTGGGTCAGTTGCGATGACTGCTACTGACTAGTTACTAGACACCACAAAATATGACATGTAGTAGTTGGTGCTAATCGCTGGGCTTTAGTTGTTAGCTGATAAAGCGATTTTTCTGGTCATGTCAATAACACAACGCGATATCTCTCTCTAGAGAGTAAATAAGAGCCAGCAAGTAACGGAAAAAGTAGAATTGTCTTGAACTTCATTCGCAGGCGAGCAGCGAGAGTTCAGCGTTCCATACTCGGCGACTTGGCCGATTGCATTGTGTTACTGAGATTTATCAGCAGCGATGCACTGTGAACCTAACCTAACCGTGAGACATGAGTACGAGTATATTTGCCCAATGTGATTCACACTTAATACAGCTTAAGGGGCTTAAGGCTTTAAATATTAGTTATGATAAATTTAATAAATATAAGTAAAAACAATATCTAATAAATATAATTATTTTGTAGTTAAAACATTATTTCCCCTAGTATATTATACATCATAATATATAATATAGTAGGTACCTATTAAACATTACAGACCATCATAATAGGTTCATATTATGACGACTGAAATATCAAAAGATCCTAATTATACGTGACATTTTGCATAACATATCAATATAATTTTTAGTTATAACATAAGATACTTATGGTATGTTAATGTATGTTACTGTAATTACTAATTAATATTTCTCGATAAAAACAGAACTCTTTCAATGCTGTCTGACTGTCGGAATTGATAATCATTAATCTACGTTGGCGTAATTGAATAATGTGTACAGTTTTTATTTTAAATCGATCTGTTTATTTTAGTCTGTAGATATAAATGGTATGGTTGTATTGAATTTACGTACCGATTTCAGTTTATTTAGATGACGACTGTTTTTATGGCTACACAAATTATAATATTATAGTCAGCCAGTCAGGGTTTTATAATAAAGCGCATTTGAGCATATTTTGTATGGCAATTGAAAAACTAGATGCGCACTTAAAAAATATGATTTGCGTGGTCGATATTTTTTACTATTTTACAAACAATGGACAAAAATCTAGTATTCTTATGAATTGCCATTATTTTGTATTACGTGTGTAGATTAAAATGTTCTTTCACAGCCAAACAACTAATACGGAAATGCCTATATAATCATATTTTATACTTTTATAGTAATATTATATTATTATTTAGTGTTGACGTGGTGTCGTGTTGACGTGTTAATAGGATATATCGCCCGGATGTGTTGTCTCCGTCTTACAAACGTATAACAACAACTCAAAATCATTGTCATATGTCATATACTCAAACATGACAACGAATATCAAATACATAAAACCATAATTTTATAACATTGCATTTTATTTTCTAACCTACTCGGCTACTTTCGCCAATTTCTTAATATTTTTCATTTAAATATTAAATACCCCTAGTTAATGAATTAAATTAACGTAATAATATACCCACCTATATTACAATGTTATAACATAAAGCTGGGGACTTCATGCCCTAAAAAACTTTAAAATATGCATGCATGTATGCTCTAAAAAAAATCATCATCCATTAAATAAAACCTTTTTATTTTTATATCTAGATAATATTTGCACGATTATAAATTGTAATTTATAATAAAAATGTGTGTATTAATAAATAATTATTTTTCTTTTCCGATTTGTTTTGTTCTTACATCGAGTTTTAGTCGAAAATAAAAAATTCCAGACCATACAATGTTATTCTGGTATCATTATCGGGAATAACACGTGCTGTGTACAGATAAGTCACTGCGAGCGATAGGCAAGGAACTGTACACTAATTTCGAAATATTTATCTTGTATAAATAAAACCATCATACAGTATAATAATAAATATAACTCAGGTCCAGGAAATCTATTTAAAATTAATTTTTTTTATTTAAATAATAAAACATGTACCCTTATATAATATAGAATGGTCAAATATGCAAAATATATAACTGTACATTTTAAAATAAACTCGTATTACTATGAAATAAATTTCCATATTATTTATACTGGTATTAAAATACATGCAAACTCCTAGAAGTCTCTAGCCCTACAACGTAGTTACTAGGTTTGCCTATATATTTTAAACTTAATTTTATTGTTTTAAAATTATTTTATGAGGCCACGACTGCTCGAGTTTGTACCAATATTATCTTATTCGTGATAATTTATCCAAAATTGTTTTCCAATACCAATTACCATTTACCAACAATTATTATTTTGATAACCATTTAATTTCTGATATTGTTATAAAACAAACAAACCTTACAAAAAGTTTTACCAGAATCTAAAAAAAAAACGCTACATAATGATTTTATACTTCAAATCACTAAGTAGAGAAGATCTTCTCTACATCGTGTTATAAATATGTTGTCATGATTTATATTTTAAGAATAACATTATAAGAATATTATAGTTCTTGTAACTAGATTAGTTAATTATTAAGTATACATATAGTGATAAAAAAAAAAATGAATATTTCATATTACTTTTTTTTAAGTCCTATACGTTATAATTTAAAAGTAATAACCAAGTTTATGGGCGTCTAGTAATTGTACATTTTTCTGATCAATTTTTCATGATCCAAATATATCAAAGGAGCACACTGCACAAAAAAATAATTTTAGATTCTGAGCGGAGCGATGAATGTATTGATTTTACAATGATGTGTGTTTATTTATTTATTTTTTATTTGTGTCTGTGTACACGATAAATAGTCGAAATAATGCTTCGATTTTCAACTTCAGTATCTTTTTGGCGGAAAAGTGAATCTATTTGATGTATTTGGTAGGTCAAAATTTTGAACTCCCAGTAGTTTTCAAAAGCTCTAGAAAAAAACAAACAAAAAATTAAGAAAAAAACGGGAATTTTTACTCAAAATCAGATGATTTAACAAATGACCGTAGGTACATGACACTTTCACAGAATATATATATAATATATATTAGCATTTTCTACGCACCATACAATTTCAGAAACATTTTGGATCATGTTGAGGTCCTTATTGGCATATTAAATTTTGCATTGTTATTTTTTTTTAATTAAGCTGTTAACAGACATTTTCAATTTTTTTAGTTTTTTTTTTTCTATAAATGTTAATAAAATTGTATTTGTCGGGTCAAAAACGTGTACATTTAATTTAATGTTCCCGATGTATTGTTTGAATACAAGTTGTAAAATATTAAAAATACATGGCCATGATTTTTTATAAAGTCCAAATGTTCAAATTGATAATTTACAAATTATTTTGTATTGAATATTTATAAAATGTTCAATAGCTAAGGATCAAAATTGTAAAACAAAGTTGTACATGGACACTGTTCTCAAATAAAACATTTTCCAATAGTCAAAAGTCAATGCTAAGATATTATTTTGTTTACTCTATTTTAGAAATATACGCACTGACATCATTTTAAGAGAATGATTATTTTTAGAAATGTAAATACTTTTTAGCACTCTTTTTAAAAATTGATCTTTGTGGCTCCATTATATGCATATTTAGGTACATTTTATTTATGACGGATATTTAATTTTATTACCATGGAATTCAGAAATTAAATACATTATACTCTATACCTAATGAGTATTTTATTCTTGGAAATTTTAAACAATGAACATTTTTATATACCTTACTCATTAGTCATTACACAATACCATTATATTTTCAACATGCATTTTGCTTATATAAAACTATATAAGATTACAGTGCAATTGCGTACGAGCAATGTGTTTCACACGATATGAACTGTTTACATATATAGTTATCGTAACAATATTTGATTGAAATATGGGGGGGGGATTGATTTAACAAAAAGTAATGCATAGGATGTTATTGATGTATTTACAATCTAAGCAAAACACAATTATTAAAAAATATC